AGGAAATGAATCCCAGAATTTAGGATCAAAGCAGCTGAAGGCTCAGCGGCCAAACATGGAGCAAAGAAATTCTAGCAATGACTGTGCAGAAGTGAGAATGGATACCAGTGCTTGCTTTATTGGGACAGACAGGTGAGAAATACAGGCTGTCATGCAGACAGCATAAATCAATGAAGTATGATGGCGTGGTTAAACATGCTGAATGCCAGAGCAACTCGAAAAAAAAACATGTTACAGTCATAGGCAGTAAGAAAACCATTAGCAACTTTAGTCAGGGTAGGCTCAGAACTCTGACAAGATGGAAATCAGACAGAAGATTTATGAACAGGGAAGATTGGAAGAGATGGAATTGAGCACAGAGTCCACAGCATATTCAAGGACTTTCGACATGAAACACAAGTTAGAAATTGGCTTGCAGTTGGTAAGGATAGAAAGATCAAGTGAATGTTTTCGTTTTAATATAATTAGCCTTACTGTGTAACTATTTTACATGCCCATTCTACTGAACCACTGAGAAATTAATCTTAAATTTAAATGTCAGTGAATGAAGAAACTGATTGGGGAAGACTATGATAGTCTCATGATTAAAGCAGACCACTTACTCCATTGAATTTTTAATCTTCCAACCAGATGCTTTTTCACCAGTTCACCAAGGCTAGGTCATACTTCAAGTGGAAACAAAGGTAGGTGATCTGAAAAATCTAAATTTTCAAACATTCAAAATGCGATGTAGATTTGAACAATATTCCCCCAATGCTCTTTCTCATGTTACTCACATGTAAGCATATTGTCAGTCATTGATACTACTGAAACTGATCATGGAGCTTAAAGGTTCTGCATCGACAACATCTTATTCATTGATCTAATTGAAATCATTAAGAAATCCCTTGAAATCTACTACAATAAAGTTATTGGTTCAAAACTATATTCCAATACAACACAATCTGTTTGCTGCAGAATCAAAAAGATATTATTTCTTATTCTGCTTTATGTCATAATAAGGGGAATATTATGTTCATGCATATTTTTAAGCTCAAATCCATCTAGCCTAGATTAGCTTGAAATGTTAAACGGTTTGTTGTTTCATATCTAGTTCCATATCAGGTATAATTTCTTTGTTTGGTTAACGACACTTCTTTTAAATGCCAAAGTTACTTTCACACCACTGGAGGAACATTTTTCTTGATGCTAATTTTGTACCATTCATATGATAGCTTTATATTTATTATTTGTTCAGTGGACACAGAATTGTTTCAATGCAACATCTGTCACTGTAAAATCATGAAGTCTGCTTAATGGGACAAGGCTACAGCTTATTGCAGAAGCTCAGCTGCAGTATCTTTAATCCAAACAAAACACATTGTAATTACAATTTTCCATAAAAATTGGAAGTTAATTAAGAAAAATGCATCATAAATCCTGTTAGCCAAGTCACATCATCATATATGGTCCATATGTCTATTTGGCTTCACAGGATAATTTAAACAGTAATGAATAAGATTTATACTGAAATAGTGCTGTTAAATAATTTGAATTTTATTTCAAATATATTTTATATTGTTACTACCAGGATTACGATTTGAGCTGCTCTACAGCTAATGTTTTAAAAAATTACTAAATTGGTCATAGTGTTTTGGAACATCCTGAGGTTGGGTAAGGGTCAAGTACAAAATCTTACATTAAATATTAAAACGATATTCAAAATTAAATGAATCCTTCAAAATTGACCTCTTTGAATATTAGATTTTCAAAACTCTTTTTCTCATTATTCTAATGACAACATTAATCCATGAATAGCATCTCCATTAAAATATAGGCAAAGATTTTTTTATAAACTTTCAAACACGAATACTCAGTTAAGTCTCAAGGACAATAAAATCTTTGCTGTCATTTATAATTTAAAGTATTTTCAGATGACAGTTAACTGAATGCAGAAAAAATTCAAATTTAGGATCTCAATCTGTATGTTGTACACAACAAATTTATGAGATATATGTTGCACTGCAACAATGAAATAGATAGCCAATTTAATGATTAATCTCAACAGGATGTTTCCTCAACTCTGAAAATGGGTTGCTTCAAGAAAATATTTGCAACACAAAGAAATATTGATATTTCAGTACCAAATGATACTAGATTTCAATCATGAACAAGTTTTGCAGATTTTCACTCAACAAAAACAGACCAGCACTGTGTAGCCATCCACTCCGCCAGTTTATTACGACACTTAATGATCTTTGATTCGGAGTATCAACAGGTTATTTGTCCATGGGCAACATCATAGCTAGTCTCCTTTGCCATTACCAGTGCTGCCAGACCTGTTGTATAGTTTTGGCTTTGATGGTTTGAACAGGTCAGTTACATGCTATTTATACAAGCCAGCCTCACTATTTGGCAATACACTAGATAGACATTATCTCTTGTCATGATGGAACATACAATCACCCAGATGCGGATGACATAAAAATAATTACTAGATAAAAGTATGCATGAATGGAGACCAAATAAAACAAACTATCAGTTCACCTTCCACCTCTGATTAGATGCTGGGCAGCTCAAAAACGAGGAGAGTAAGGGAATCAGAGGAATTACTGAAAAGCAGTGTGCTTCTTTTTAAGAGACAGAATCTGCATTTTAGATGTCTGTGTACATAAGTGCATTTGTATTAGGTTTATAGGTGCATCATATCAACAAGTTCTAACCCATTACAGCTTTCAAAAGGAATTTCTTCCTGTCATTCCCAACTGTGTATCATTGACTCGGAACTGTGCTCTTTTCCATCCCAGTTTACAGCAATCTTTGCTGAACACAACCTCACCCATAGCATCCACCTCTCACCACCAACTCCACCACACCTGTAAATCATATACATACATTCATACACACTACATATTGTTCTCCTGGCTGTAGTACATACAGAAAAAGTGGGTCATAAACAACCACAACCCATTACTTATTTACATTAGACCAAAATACAAGATTAACCAGCAATCGCAACATCATTATTTTGGTTGGCCATAAGAAAATAATTACACCTGTAGGTTACTTCAGCAATAAAAATCTGAACAAGAATAGTGGATTGCCTGTAAATAAAAGCAGAAAGTGCTGGAAATCCTCAGCACGTCAGGCAGCATGTTAAAGTTATATAATTTTCCAGTTTTGAAGAAAATCTGAAATGTTAACCCTTTCCCCCCCTCCTGGAGATACTGCCAGACCTGCACATTTGTTTTCGGCATTTTCTATTTTTATTTCAGATTCCCAGCATCCTTTGATTTATGTTGAGAATTACATTGCAATTTTAATTAGCTAGTGGTTAATGCATGTTTGTTAACAATAAAGGCAAGTATTTAGGAAATGCAGCTATACAACTGTTAATGCCAAGTTTGTGTTAACTCTTTCTATGATGATGCCTTTTTTGCCCTATTTACTAGCTTTCCAAATAATTACCATGCTCTTTTTAAGTTATTTGTGGAATGTTGACAAAATTACAATGACATTTGGCTCAGATGTTAAACTGTTTTCCTTTTTTTTATATAAACTATCATTCCACGAAAGTGAGGAATGCTTCCAGAGTTCTGAAACAAATTGGCTCCGACTTGGAAAGCTTTCAGTTCAATAAATTCCAGAAAGCTAGAGAAATGATCCCACTTCACCTGTAATTTTACCCTCATAATAAAGTCAGTCAACAAAAACTAACATTATATTTCTAAATGACTGTATTAAGATGACGGCATTGTAAGAACCTTTAGAAGCATCTTAAACTCCAAATTATGACATAAACAGAAACACAAGGCGCTTTACGGATAGTCACAGGGCAATTGTGGTCGCATCTCATTCGAAATTTGAGTCAGTGACAGATGCAAATAAAATATGTGACAATTTTCGACATTTTTCTGGGAGAATTTCAACTTCCTCATCATCAATCGCACTGACACTGGCAATGAAGAACACTTGCACGACTGAATCAGTTACCATATAACTCTGAGTAAACCAGCTCCGGAATTCAGCCGAGTTGTGTGGACTTTGTTTTCGTGAGTGCCAAACTCATTAATTTCAAATTCCACTTCCTGCGCCCCATTCAGAACTCCCAAAAACGGAGTCGACAGATTAAAAAGGCAGGACCGAGGCGCCGGAAATGAACTAGTGTTTTGTTTAAATTGATACTGGAGTATCTAAATTGGCTATTTCCATTGTAAGAGAAATACTTGTTTCTCTCTCTCCCACACACGCACGTTCACTTTCTTTTCGACTTTCCAAAGGCAACATTGTTGCAATTTATACTTCACACATAACTTCTCACATTCACGTCGCGTGTATATTGTCAGGAATATATAAATGTTACCAAGGAATCTTTCAGCGCGTTCAGGCCGCAATAAAATCTACCGTGGATGGCCGTTTGCACCTTTTCATTCGAAATGGAAATTGCTCAACTGACACAGTCGAAATTGATATTTTAATTCAAGGTTTGAAAATGTGTACGGAAATTACTTGGACAACTCAGACGGACAATTTGAAAAACACAATTACATCTGCAGCAGCAAAATAACTCGTAGCAGCACAGGGGTGCTTGGAAATGTAAACTAATTGATCTGCAAAAGTAAGTTTACTATTCAGGCATAATCTGACTCAATAGACAGATATGCAGCGAGGCGGCCGTTCTAATTAACTCAATGAATGTTCCACCAGCTTTTCTGGACTATCAGAAATCTATTCCTGCGCTTCAGCTATACATTTACATGTACTGCCTGCACCAATTACTTCACGTCACGTCTGTTCACACATCAAAGCAGTACCGAAAGCCAAAGTGCCTTATCTATATCAAGAAAAAAGATCAGTTTCAACTTGCAAAGAATAAAAATTAATTTCGGTGACTGCATGTTCCACCCCCCGCCCCCAAACGGCACAATTTACACAATCAGATGTTGCAACTGTAACAATGCTAAGCAAAAAAAAAGTTTATCACACATAATTAACAGGAAAGAATAATATATTAAATTTACCAGTGATTCACTCCCATTCTTGCACAGGGGACCTCTAAAAACTCCTTTAATGTTTCTAAAATGCCCATTGCTGAGATGCGTTGAGCTGATCACAAGGTAATAGCACGCCATACGGTAATGTATCTCCCATATGTACAGAGGGTTAACATAAGCAGGGGGAATTCAGCAGCCGTACAGCAAAGTGAAAGCAGGAACCCGATCAGGCAACACCTAGACACTGTTTTACTTCGGCGTCGGCAGGCAGAGACATAACACCAACAGACGATCCATCGGCCCCGATGATTAAATGACGAGACTGCAAATCCATGCACTTCCCAAAACGCAGACCACGTGAAAATCTAATCCTCCGTCTCGGGCAAGACAGGAAAATCCACACTGTCTGACAGATGCAGCAGATCACCACTGGTTTACATAGTCAAACCGACAAAAGAGCTTGCTGTGAGCAGTCCGTGATAACCAAGTCCCTGTTACACACCACCACCAGTTTTCGATGGCTTCAGTCAAACTGCAGCCTGCCTTCAAAAGCCAGGTACAGGAACAAATAGACTGCAAACCCAGAAACTGTCACACACAAGGCATTTACAGGAAAAGACTGTAAGCAGAGTTCCACAGATGACAGCTCCCAATCAACAGCACTCAGCCTGAAGTGACTGCAACCATTTCGAACTCTTCCAGCTTTTGTTTATTCCCAAGACTTTTAGTTTTCTCCCTTTCGTCTGTTCCTCGCTTCCATTTCCTCTGCCTGAATTTGCTTGCTTATTTTCTGCCCACTTTCCCTTTGACACCTTTCTTATTCTTTTCTGGCTCGATATCAAGCTGCAGTAATAGCAGTAGCAGCAACCCCCAGCTGACTGCGAGAATGATCAATCCAATTCCAAATAGGGTATAAAGAGGAGGAAACAGAGAACAATCACTATCGTCTTACTGCCATTCTCCTCAGTAACATGCATTTAACTGAATTGTTTCATTTGCTGTAAACAGTGCCACTAGGGAGCAGGCTGGACCAAAGCAGCTTCACATTGTTGAGATGAATCCGGGGAAAAGAGAAATCTCAGTTATTTTATTCGGAAATGTAATTAATGAAACACCAACAAAACTGCAGTTTAGTATAAGGAGATGAGCTAAACAAGCTGTTGTTGTTTACACTGCCAAAATGTCATGTTAATTATGAAGTGTGTAATGTTTAACCACTGAAGAACAGTAAACATAGGGAACCCTTTGATTGAATGAAGGAACTCAACAATGTACAAGTCACTTCTGTCAAACTCCTTTCAAGCTTATAACACTAATTATTTTCCATCCTGTCAAATCCCTGTATGTGTATCAAACTCTTATAGTAGTTCTTACTTACATGCACAGTTACGATGCATTGATTAATAACAATATTAACATTCTAGATATGGAAATGATATAGATCAAAAGACTTACAATCATCATCTCTATGCAGTGGCACTGAAAGGAACGTTCTGTTCATTACATAAATCTACTGTCATTTCACAAATGTCCTATATTGATGTAATGCACAGGATCTATTCACACTTTGGTATTTTGTTTGAGTAAAGCTTCTGTTAAGTAGTTGGATATGGATTTCTGGCTTACATTTGATAGCATGATTGTTGAGCTGCCCAGAAAATGCAAAAGTATTGACTAAAATAAAATGCACAATGCTGTTTCATATTTTTAATTCTTACAATTTGCAAAGGAAATGGTTAAACAATAAAGCTCAATAACAAATTATTTGCATCATCTGCATGCTAGGAATATCAGCCCTCAAAGAAATTTCAGCATTAATGGCAAAACAAAACAAATTCAAATAGATCACCAAACACTGGAGTCATGACCTCAGTAACAGTCTTCACAATTATCACACACAAATTTGCTGATCATTAGTCTATTACACGTTCACCCACAAGAGGGAACATTTGCACAAGACTGGCAGCTTCTTAAAGAGACTTCAGTTCTGAAGAATAGTCTTTGCACTCAAAATTTTAACTCTGTTTCTCTTCTACAGCTGCTGCCAGATCTACTGAGTTTCTCCAGCATTTTCTACTTTTTATTTCAGATATCCAGCATTTGCAATATTTTGCCTTTATTTCTTGAGAGGTAAACAATGTGAAAATCAAATGCAGAACAAATGGTTGCCTTCCATCTCTTAAGACTATATTTGCATCTTGATGGTCAACTCTGTGTTAAGCATTGCCTGGTGTGGTTCAGGCGCTCCTTCTGGCATGGCAGTCTTGAATCATTGTCTTTGTGATGCTCATGGTCAAACCAAACTCTTTAAGGGCATGACAGAGTCTGTCCATTTGCTGTTGAACACGTTCCTTGGTATGCAATGCCAGTGTGGCCTTTGTCAGTGAATCTCAGGTGAGCAAGGCTGAAGAGTTTTCCATCTGTTCTGATATGTATGGAGACATCCGCTGTTGATGACCCAAAAGCATACGGCAGCAGCAAGGTGAATATACATCACAAAGAGTGTTGGTGCAAGACCCAACACTGTTTGACTCCTCTGCAGTTCTCCAAGAGTTCTAATGTTGCCCCTACATTGATGACCTTACCCATCATGTTGCCATCGAAAGAGATCACACTGAGCTTCTTGAGTGCATGACCAATTTTCACCTGCAGCTTAACAAAGCCATCAACAAACACATAGAACTCGACCCCATATACACTCTACTACGAAGGAAAACCGGAAGTGAGGTAATCCAGCTGAACGGACTCCAGAATTTAAAAACCAGGCGGGAAAACACATTGGCGCTTCATCAGAGGCTGCACTGATGATGTTACCCAGCAGGGTAATGAAATGTCTGCGGAACAACGAACCAGCTCGGCAAGCTAACCAACCACAATAGACCACCTCTGCTCACATGATTGAATGTATTGGTGGTTCTCTCTGTTCACGGCCTTTTTCTTACAGCTGCTTTATGTCAATTATCCAGTTCTGAAACCACACTGGAATTCAGGGTAGACATGTCCAGTCAGGATCCTCGGTCTGACAACAGCGATAAGGGCAATTTTTTTCCCCACTATGCTCAGGATACAGATGCCTCCATAGCTGTTGCAATTGCTGTGGTCATCCTTGTTCTCGTACAGGGTCACAATCTTTGCAGCATGAATATCCCAGGGCACATATCCGCTCCCTCCAGCAGAGACACAGAAGGTTATATAGTTGCTGCTGTGTTACTGGTTTCCAGAGCTTGATGTAATAACACCAGCTCTTGAAGCTTTTCTTATAGCAAGTGAGCAAACAGTTTTGTTTGGTTCCTCCACTGGGGGTTCAATGTGTAATTTTTCTATAATGGACAGCCTAGAGCTTCCCCAGTCACAGTGTTCTCCTAAAATACAACTCAAAGTAGTGTCCCTTCTATTTCTAAACAGTTTACTCCAGCTGGCAATGACCTCCCCTTCCTTTATTTTTGAAGCAGTCTTTTTTATTTACTGATGGACCATGTTTTTGTTCCCTCATTTGTGCCCCTCGCAATAGCTGTGTTGAAGGACACTTGGGCAGCCTGGCATAGTTGTAATCAGTCCACTCTGGTGCACCACCTAACAATCTGTTAAATGATTTCAAGCAGATATTAGAACATTCAGAGTCCTCTCTCTCGCTTCTCTCAACTATAGCAGTGTCAAGGTTCTGGTAGAACTGGAATTTCCCCTCTGTAGTAGACAGCAGCATTACAGCATGGATACTTCTGAAATTAACATGCTGTTTTTGAGTTGAGAAGCAGGTGCAGGCAAAAATGCAGAACTGTTTGTATGTTGTGTGTGTGCATATGTTGGCGGGAGGGTGGGTTCTATGGTCAAGATTAGCGAGTTCCTTACAGCAAAGCTAACACCTTTCTCACATTTCTGAAGAAGGGTCCAGGCCCGAAACGTCAGCCTTCCTGCTCCTCTGATACTGCTTGGCCTGCTGTGTTCATCCAGCTCTACACCTTGTTACCTTTCTCACGGACCTCCTTTGAACTCTTGCCCTGCAAGCTGAATGTATAACATTTTTCTTTCACTGATCCACTCTCAACAAGCCTGATCTTTTGTCAGGAAGCCATGTCGTTGTTCAGCCTGTCAAGTTCCATGGCGATCATGGCTATCTGCCACAGGTTATCAATCAGCTGTAAATTATCTGTCAATCCTGTGCACATGGTCCTGACACTCCAGTTTCCAGGCAAAGAGTCAGCATCTTCTTTCTTTTCATTCGCTTTGTTTGCCTGGTGCGGTGGATTCCATTCATTTGTTAAGTAGAGGTTCGAAACTAAAAGCAGCCGTTAAAGCTGCAGGAATGTGATGGGTCAGCACCTTACATGGCAGCGGTTGCCTAACTTGAAGTGGGCAGTAGCTGAATGCTGAGGCACTGCAGAACAATGGTCCTTCTCACTATCAGAGAGTCAGCATGTGGCACACATTCTCTATCCCTATTATGTTGGCCATATCACTCATAGCATCATCTTGCTGTGTTAACACTTTGCAGTAAAATTGGAGATTCAACTCCAGGGTGCAAGCCTGGCTGCTCAAATGCCCTTTTAAACAAAAATACAAAGAACTCTGTAAATGTGAAACAAAAACAGAAAATGCTGGCGAAACTCAGCAGGTCCGGCAGTATCTGAAGAATGGTCACTAGACCCGAAACGTTAACGCTGCTTTCTCTCCACAGATGCTGCCAGACCTGCTGAGTTTCTCCAGCACCTTCTGTTTTTGTCCCCCTTTTAAATTCATGGTTGTGTCCTGTGGAATGCAAAGCACTAAGTTTAGCACAGGCTTGTTTGCAGGAAATGCTGGAAAGATATTTCAAAATCAGTTTGTCTTTATACTTTACTTTTTGTTGTCAGGGTCCACTTTTTAATCCTCAAATCTTATAAAATATCCATAAAACAGTGGAACTGTTTGCCCATAACAAGGGGTCATGAGTGCCAGGGTGTGTTTAATACCAATATACTTGCACATTGTGTTTCTGGGGTCAAAATGCTCTGAAAGCCTCTCAATCTTTGGCTTGGGTCTGCAGAGGTCCAAGTTTCACTGTGTTATTTTGAGGAGGCACAGCTGAGGGCTTGCCAATGGAGAGGCTATCTATTGTTTGATGTAAACTGTGAGATATATATAGGTAAAGTCACCGTAATCTTAGCAGACCATAGGGCCTCTTGCTCATTAGAGAAAGAGATGGCTGGTGGTGGTTTAACCTGAAGATCCCCACACCTCAGTCGAAGGGAGAGTTCCTCACGGTAATCTCAGCCAGTGCAGAAACTGAGGCCACACTGTTAGCATTGCAAACCA